TTCATGAGGTTTTCACTGCTATGTTTATCGACCTCCCATCGCGAATAAACAACTGGTGAGCGATGGCAGGTTACAAGAGAAGGATACAATAATTATAGCAAGTATGTTCTTTAGATACTTTTATCTCTTGGTAAACCTTCTCTTAGTGGGAATTCGCAATGGTCATTTTTCTTTAACCACTAATAATATTGATGAAGGTTTCAACTGGCTGTTTATGTTCTTGCAAATAGTTGATGAATGTTAATGGCCAAAGAGTAATCCCCTCATCATCATATTACTATTACTTTTGCAGGATGAACAAAAATATTGTTGTTCTCTTTTTTTACCTGCGTCATGGTCCATTTGGCGACCTGCTTGAACCACGTGGCAGAGCACTCCATTTACTTGTTCCCAAGTGAGGCACAAAGCCTACCATCGGACCCCTTGCAAAGTTACAGGTTGGCACTCAGCAAAGGTACGATGTATCACAGAGATTGCTTTGTCTTTTCACATTGGTGCACCAAGGTCAATATGAATATGCAACCATAATCAACTAGATATGTTGCAAATGCCAAGCTGAAGCGACATCAGTTTTTTAACTAACCACCATGTAGCAGGATATAGGAGTACAAAAGAAGAACATTGTGCAAATGATTTGTTGAAGTAATGTGTTCTAGACTACTTAAACACATATCAGAATAAAACATGTTTACACCACATTAAAACGTTATCAAAACCTTTAATCAAGAGTAACTATGGGCGTTCCAAGTGATTTAACTAAGGACAATATGAGGCCAAAAATACAAACCAATGAAGTAGTACAATTTAAATCAGATGATAGGAAAGAAATGTACAAATAAAAGTGCAAAGAGTGTGATGATATAAAAACCTGACGCGTGATAGAGGAACAACAACCTTTTGCCAAGAGAAAATTTGAACTAGAAAAAACATGCTTTACACATTCAAAGGGAGAGGGCGAGAACGGCAAATAGAACCAAAGGTTGCAAACAAGCAGAGACAAGCAGGACTTTGATCAGGGTTCATGGTACGGTCTCTTTTCCAAGTTGACAACCCGTTCAATTGTCAGATTGCATTTCAGAGAAGAATGCAACTTGCACTAAACTGAGACGTTGGCGGCTTAGTTGAGGTTCAGGAAGGGGAACCCCAAGCTTGATTACCAAAAGGAAAAGAATGGGGTGAATAGTAGATAGGCTTGAACAAAAAATAGATGCCACACCAACAAGAAAAACACATCAAAGGTACGAAAAGTTTTTGGTACGAATAGTTTTTGGAAATACAATAGTGACTAGTTCAAAGAAAACATTGATTGCAAAGAAACGGGAAACGATTGTATATGTATAGTCCAAAGATTGAAAACTACACATGTGCAATCAAACTTGTTGACAAAACAAAAACTTTAGAGGAGCTGATGAGACACAGAAGACAATGGAGGATGGTATTGAGATATGACTGCTGGTGCTCCATTCCATATCCACTGAACTTGATGTTGATGCTGCATATTTCATCGATGCAATCAAGGTCAGAGACCACAGTGAAGGTGAATATTGGATTCATGCATCGATGCAACCGAGGTCAGAGACCACAGTGAAGGTGAATGTTGGATTCATACATTGACAACCCATTTGGCTGAAAAAGCACATTGATGAACCAATACTAGTGGAAAACATAAGAATGACACAGCAGACAGTTTGCAAACTAAGTAGCATGACTGAAGAAGAGTTTTAGGAAGATGTGGCATCAGTTGAAGATATCAATGAATGAAACAGGAGTGCTTTAAGATATGGGATAGTTTTTGCAGGTTAAATTTGCCTGGAAGTAGTCCAACACCTACGTAGGAAAATGAGAAACATGAAAATGGATACTGAGTAGATGAAAAGGTCTTATGCAGAGAATATATCAACACCAAGGGAAGGAATTCTATGTCATTTTTCGTGCAATGATACTATTGCAGAAAGATGCAGAAATAACGTACGTGCTTGGAATAGAATGTCAAAAAGAAACTGGCCAGTCAGAAGGAATAAGATCGATTTAAACCCTCAAGGTGCCAAAAAGCAGAAACCACCGTCAAAACAACAGATTTAATAGAAGTAAGACACCGTTCATGTGCTGAACATTTCAACATCAAGTTCTAGGCCCCTTTGGTTTATGGTTTAAGTCTAAATTTTACAGTACCAGTTGATCTCAAGGTCGGTGGAATTAACGACGCTAAAACCGTTCCATTGTAAGTGCTCTTTTGCTTAATCAAGACAGCTCTTTGTTTAAACATGGTTCCATATTTTGGCGCGCGAAATGACCGAAAAGGAACCTATGTGCATGTACATATGTAAACGTTTTGCTAAATGGTTGCTTCAAAGCCGCAGGGCATCCACTTTGCCAGAAACATGAAGTCAAAAGGTATTCTGCTGTCCGCTGTCCTTGTTGTTAACCCGTATATGTTTGCCAAACTGCACATATTGACTTGGACAGATGCAAGATGCACGTGATACAACCAGTTTCTTTAGAAGCGGACAACAGTTTTGGCTTCGAATATCGAGAAAAACCCGTTGAAAGGCTCAGGCGAAGGAGATGCTGTGGTGCTCGCGATTAAATGGTATATGAATAGCATGCCATTTGTCATTGGTCAATTCATACGCAGGCACTGCATGTAATTATACTTTACCTGAATAAGACGACTGACCATCCCTAAACCACGAAAATTTAGGTAGATGTTCTATATGAATATGAATATGAATATGCATCGAGGGTTTGGGATAGGTTGATGGGAGTGTTTCATATCGCTCACCCGGTTTTCGGCAGGCAATTTCCATGATGATGGCATATACCTCAGTGAAACCTGGCAGTGTGGTTTGCAGATTTTGGACTGTTCGACAGTTCCACACTTGAAGATTCGATGTACATCGTTTGAGATGGTCTTCCCACACTGTTCAGTGAAGGCATGGAAAAGTCTAGTCTATTCATGAGGCCCGGGACCTTCAGCTTGCCAAATCATCACCCTTCACCTGAATAGATGTACTTCCACGGACTGGCCAAAGCAGCTTTGCAAAGGAACGTCCTCTACTTCGAGACACTTGAGGATTGTGCCGGCTTGGCTGCAGCCTGCGAACCTTGGACGAATGCGCCGTGCGAGGGCAGCGAACATGCTGATCGTTTCCATGTTCATCTCCGTGCAGATCCACACTCCAAATGTGCTTGTCCCCCCAGGTATCTACTTTTTGGTGTTTTGTAGGTGTTCAACACTTGTTACTGCTGGCAAAGATTGTTTATGGTATACTATTCCACCACATCTGTTTTCTCAGCAAGACCTTTCACTTTTGATAATTTGCTTTTGACCCAATTGCAATATAGCATCAACTACAATGAAAGGATCGATATTTTTAAGCCAAATATTTTCGATGTCATTATATACCATAACTATTGATGCCATAAATAGTAATATTTGGAACATTAGCAACATGCTGGCTAGGTGTTCCCTCCATCTATTAGTGGTTTTTTCATCTACCAACTGGATTATGCTGTGCATCTAAATGCTTTGTACTACCATCAGTAAGAGTTGACTACTGAAGAACCTGACCTGTCCTAATGATATCGACTTAGATGGTTTTACCAGTATCACCACACATTTTGACATGACCAGTATCACTTAAACTGAATAACTGTACCATTGAATTGTGTGGCACTTTGAGCAGGATTGAATCAACCACCCTTGCTCCCTTGCTCCCAAATACTGTTTGAATTTATACCTAAACCAAGTAAGACAATCAATTACAGTGTTTTCGGAGTAGATGGCACAAACCCCAAGATGTCTTTTAGATGGGGATCCATACAAACCACCTTTTGGCGATTGTGCCATCTACTCTCAATCCACTGTATGTCAATACCCCACCTCCTGCACCAGGTGGCATTCATTATTCAAGATTTCAGGTTTGAGGAGAACAATATCCGGCAATCTTGAACCTAGAGGGAACTAGTTGCAATGGTGGAACTCAAGATTAACGATTCAAGAGTTGAGGAAAAAGTTGTTCCAGCAATCCTGAAGTAACTACTTTCAACTAGTTGCAACTAGTCGCAAGCATGGAGGGCTTATGAGGGCTCAAGATTCAAGACCTCAGGGAAACAAAGCTGGCTTGTTTCAGCATGTTGAATGTTGACTCTTCAATCTTGGCTGCAGATTCAATATGTGAGAAAGAACTGTTCACGCATATTGCCAGTCATATTGCCAGTCACCACTTATAACCACATGCACAGTCATGCATATACATATATAGTTTCTTGAGTGCACAATAGTTTACCTTGTATACACATATACAGATACATGCAAAACATAATGTACTAGAAGTCAGTCTTGGGGTGCCCTATATCTACAAACGCATATACAGTGCTTGATTGTTTAGGATTTGTTGTAAGTCAGATGTCCATCAAAGTGGCTTCGAAACTGAAAGTCGCCCAGGACAAGCTTTCATATGAAGTCCATTCGAGTGTTGCAAACACCCAGATCAAAGGGTTTGCCCTTGTTCCAGAATATCAAGAATGTCCTGGCCCTTCTCTTGTAAGGTGTCCATCGAACCAACAAAAGAACTTCCAAGGCCACCAGTTGGCCTCAACAAGTCTTTGGGGAAGTGCATGGGCTTCCTGCAGGCTTCTCCGCATGAATCCCAAACCCGGATGCCGCAGGAACCCAAGAGGTAGAGGCTGTCAACGGGAGGGTGCAATTTCAACAGGCGATTGAGTGAATCATTTGGGGACTGAGCAAATGTGTTGTGAGTTGCACAGGTACGTTTCAACAAGAATGAACTCATCATTGTGGTGCGAGCCAGAAGTGGATCCCAACTCTTAAACTCGTTACACTTGCGAGCATGAAAGCTGGATAAACCCTCCAGCAGAGCGAAATCGCACGAAAGCTCAGGGAGCGAAAACTCCCTCAGGGTCCTGCGAAGCGCAAAGCAAAGCACGCTTGAGCAAGGCCATTCTTGGACAATCCCCTGAATGCGTGCGTTGATGCACACCCTCCCCAACTGTCACTTGCATGTTGTGGAACTGAAGCTGGTATCCATATTGGACGCTAATGAGACCACTTTTGGTGGTTTCGCTTGTTTCGGAGCTGCACCCACAGCAAGCCATGTGGATACTTTCGCGAAAAACACCCAGCAAGCACGGACCAAGAGGGCGCATCATGGGATTGCTGAGGAAGACAAAATATACAAAACCTGCACCACCCATATTATACAGTCGGGCCGTTTGTTTTATCTCAGGCGGTGGGCAACAGTTGCACACTCAGAGCCATGTCCCTATGTAAACATCCCTTTTGTATCCTTCTGTGTGTTCGCCATCTCCATGGCAATCAAGGAGATTCTGATTCAGATGGTCTTCAGCGGTACCATCTCTGTCATCTCCACCTACGTATTAGTGGATGAAGGGGTGCAGACCTTCATCCTTTTTCAGGCCAGATATGTTCATCCATGTTCCCTTCCCAAGCTGCATAAGCACGACATGGAAAGGCCAGCATCAAACAGATGCCCAAACATTCTACATATTCCTACGTTGCCAGTTGCCAGGTGTTGTTTTTGTTTCTTGTCGTTATCAGGGCCCTAGCTGTCTGAAGAGGAAGTAGAGAAAGGGGGAGAGTGGAAACACGAGGAGGAGAATGCACTTTGGGACATCAGACTCGATTTGACAGTTCGCCAATTATGCTGACACTTACGCTAGCTTCAGATTGGCACCAGGCTGACACCCCCAAAATTTGTGGATAGACTTACTGTAAAGACACCCAGCGCAGTTCATCCAGTAAACTGCTTTCAACCCAGTAGCTTGGCACAAAAGAAACAGCCATTCCCTCTTCCACATGGCAACCCAAACCGCCGCTCACCTCTCGCTCACCTCTCGCTCACCGGGCCAGGCTGCGATTTGTGTGATTGCTGGCGTGATGTTTTGGCTCGGCCGACCCTTCCCACACATCATCGACCGAGAGAAGTCCCCGGAGACGTCTCCAGTGACCCGTGAGAATTCTCCCGTGAGTCATTCACTCCATTCGTCGTCCTGCAGTACCCCTCCGCCCTAAAATGGAGGTGGGTTCTGGGTGGCTTCAAGTTGGAAGGAGTGAGGAGGAGACACCATTTAGAAGTGCACCATGCACCACATACTTAGCTTTGACAATTTTTTGCACCTGGTGCCACACAAAAGAGGCCTCTTGCGCATGGTTTTTGAAGGTGCCTCGGCATTGTGGAAGCCAAGGTGTTTCCGCCGTCGGCATTTACCCGAAATGTGAGGGGTCAATGATTTGCTTGTCATTCGTTGACCACGGCTGCAAAAGCAGCTGTTCTTTGTGCAGGGACAAGGGATTGAAGGCTCCTTGCAACGACCACCTGTGCTGAAGTCTGCGGAAATTTCAGCGGAATGCGTGGGGACGGGGGTTGCGTGGATTTGTGTGTGTATGCACGGAAGATGGGTCACGAATCTGATGCTCGGACTCACTGTCTATCTTTGCCAAGAAAGGCATCGAAAAGCACAAGATCTCGAGACAAGCTATTGGAGTTAAATATAGTAAGTTGCCTTCCTACAAAAAAACATGTTCCATCATATTCCTATAGCCTATTGCATCGTATTTCAATCGCTTGTTTTTTCCATGTTCCGATCCGGTCCGTGCCGGTCACGTCGCTCCAGGCGATGTTCGGCGACGCCTGCCGCCTGGCGGCGAGGGAGGTTTCGGCCGTCGGCAGAAGTTCGCTGCGAAACCAGCTTCTTGCAGGTGCTTCTGGTGCATTCCAAGCACCGGGTTGGTTTGGTTTTTAGAATGTTTTTAGAATTTACATGAAATTACTGTATATATATATATACCCTAGAAGTCCAAAGACTATATTTTGCCCCACTGAAGTAAAGCATATTCCTTTTCGGGTCACCTAAAAACCATTATTTTTATAGTCTTTGACTCCCAGGGTATATATATATATGTTTTTATACCGAGGTGACCATGTTGTTGTACAAAATTGCGTTTTAGAATGTTTTAGACATTAAAACACCAGCTCAAGCTTTCTCGTACCGGTCGAACGGAAGGCAGACATGTCCAGCTCTGGAGTTTCGGCCAAGGGCGCTTGGGCTTCGACTTTGGCTGGACGTTCCCCGAACAGGCACGGGATGATATGGGATGGGTGGATGGAGAGCCACTTCAGAGGGTTTCTATGGTCATCTATATAGTCACTACCGCAGGCGGATAAAGTTCAGTTCCGACTGAGATGATTTGGAGAGATGGGGTGTTTGAATCTTGGCTTCTTTGGATATATGTTTGCATGTGGACTCGGTGTTTGCATTGAGCCACGGTCGCCACAAGGTCGGTTGGCTGAAGAGCTTTGAACAACCGGTTCGAGCTGAACAATCTTTTGCGTTAAAATGTGTTAGCACGATTCAGAATAGGAGAGCTACAGTTCCCAAGAGACTGTCAAGACCATGTGACCCACACAATCCAGCCAGCATCTTTTTCGTTGCATTCCTGCTTGCTGACGAGGCAACGTTCGACACGTTTCACGTGCCCAAAAGAGTCTCCCCCCATCTAAAGACGCTGGCAGCGTCTTGGGCCCATTTGGGGCCCCAAACCACACGACGTTGCCATGATTCTTCGAGCGTCCCTCCAGGAGGAAGAGGATGATCCGACGCCCTTCTTCCTGGACGCGACTTGCGTGTCCTAGATTTGAATGGGCACCAGGGCACACCATCGAGACAGCTTGGGAAGCACTCCCCAGTTGCACTGCACAGGGTGAGTTGCAACTGTTTGATTCACTGATGTCGGATTCTTCACGACAGGTGGATGGAGTATTCCAGGTGTTTTTGGGTCAAGGTTCTTGGGGAAGGTCCTGTGACTTCGGAACGAAGGCATCAAACCCACAGAGGTTTAGATGATTTTGTTTCGGTGGAACTGGATTTCCATCCGACTCTCAACCTACCGGTAGAGACCTTTTTGGCTCGGAAAGAAGCCAGTGTAGCTTTGGGAGGTGTGCCCGCCAAAATAACTTGCAGTGTTCCGCCCACAATCGTCCACCATTGTGTGTAAGAAGTGTAAATATATAAGCAACTATACATACAAGTAGAAGTCAGTGGCTGCCGTATTGGGGGCCACACTTGTAAAAGTGTTTGGCAGGGGTGTTTCCTATTTGTGCAGATGTGTGCATGTGTGTTTTTCGGTTTTGCTTGGATCTAGGCCTGAGCACAATCAATCAAAGAGGGCAGTGGTCTTTCTTGAGTGAATGTGTTTAGGACTGCTTTGATTCTACAGTTGTCAGAATGGGGATGCAACACCAGTAACGGGGTACTAGCAGATACTAGCAGCACATTCCTCGATTCCTCAAATCATCGCCACAGAAAAAAGAAGCGAGAAGACATGTGCTACCGACGATTCCTCGAGCGCTAATCATCCACCGCTGGGCTGGGATGAAGCTGACTTGTCTATCTCCTTTCCCACCCCACGCTGCTCTTTTGAAGACATTGGTTGGAAACTTTAGCTGGGTTCATCTGGGTTCTGATTGTTACACGCTAACATTGGCACTCATATTCATCATATGTCATACATAGTAAATATGTTATAAGTGGTTCCAATATTATTGTTTTTTACACCGAGGTGATCTTCGAGGGCCAGGCCCTCCGGGAGCTGGTGGACTATCGCGGGGCGCACGGCGTGCGATGGGTCATGAACGGCGTGCCACTCGGCGGGACCTGGGTGGATGAGTGACATGGGACGGTGGATAAGTTATGAGTCAGGAGTCTACAGTGTACAGGCTTGGATTGTTGCCATATGCCATGGGCAGGTTTTTCTTCTGGATGTTGTTGGATAAATGGATATTAATATTACAAATGGTCTATGTGTTTTAAGTTTGAAACATGTTGTGTAGGTTCGTGTGTTTGCACGACATAGCGATTGGGCTTGATCTACGTATATCTACGTCAACCAAAGGCCTTTGCAACAAAGGCCTTTGCATTTTTCTTTTTGTCCTGTGTGATCTTGGTATGTTTTGGTGGTCATTGGGTTCTACAATGTGGGGTCCAGAATCCAGACAAATTGGGCCAGCCGGATGTGTCGAACTCGTCCATGTTGCAGTTGATGCATGGAGAGTTTAGGGTTTAGATCGGTTTAGGGTCAGTGTTCACTGTTGGAATCGTTTTCCCCAACTCCTGATGAACCATGGTGAAACCTCAGACTTCCGGAAACACAGACTTGGCAGAATGGGTGCCAACCCGTTCGACTGGCGCGGGCGTATACGGACGTGCATGAATGAGGTTGGACTATAGAGGCTATTGGGCCCTGGCCTGAGGATGAGCAAGGAACAGTTGGCCGAATAAGCGGAAATTGCATAGGCTTCGGTTGTGAACAGTGTAGTCCTATCAGAATAGGTAGGCACCGATTCCAACAGATTTGTACTGCCTCAGTTGGTGATTTCATCATGAAGAACTCAAGTACGTTTTTGGAACATTCCCGCACCAGAGACGGGCATTTGCGAGAGTTCTTAGAGGTTTACATGACCAACGTCTTGAGTGACCGGGGTGTCCCCGGACTGAGGTTGGTCAGATCCCAATTGGCGATGCCACTGGAGGCGCCGTGCAGCATGCTGGAGGTGATGTGAACTACACTGCTCGAGCAACTCGCTACAACTGGAGACGCTCACATCGCGGGATGGGTTCACCGTTGACCACTCGAATTTGGTCACAGATGGTCACAGGTGATGTAGGTTGCTCCAGAAAGAGGTCGTCCTTGCACCCTGTGGGAATCCCATCGCTGTTGAAGGGCGCCGTGTCTTTCCATGCAGATTAATTACAACGCATTGTTTGACTGCTCCGTATGCATGGCTTTTTATGCTTTTTGTGCCAGACTGTCTAGACCTGCGAGTGCCTCTCAATTGATTTGTTCATCATTGTTCAATGATTTCGCGATGGAATCTGAAGAGGACGACCGTAGTGCCACACCCCGTCAAATCTTCGTTCCAGCGATCCTTCGCGTATCTTTAGCGGTGAAGTGCTGAAATCCTACAGGTCGGTTACCGCGTGCGGGACCGTGCTGCCACGGTCGGTTTGACCATCGACCCGGGTTCCGGGCCCAAACGTGGCGTCGTTTCTGGGGCGAAACGACATGAACAAACAACACCAGTTTGGGTAAACGACCTCGTTACAACGTTTACTTCAGCGACCTGACACACACGCGGCAAAGATGTGGCCCATTCTGATGATTGAAAAAACGCGTGGGTGGTCAGTGGTCGATTTGTTTTCCGTGCCTATTTGCTTTGCATGTTTGTTGGTGTGGCTTTGGTCACCGCCCTAAGTAGCACGGCATCTCCATTTGGTACGGGAAGGGCATTTTCCACTTGAGGGCTGCCCAATGTGCTAACAGAGACTTCCTGTCCACTGTCATCAAATGAGAGTTCTCGCACTTGGTTTAGCAATGATATATATATATATATATTTCAGACCTTACCCTACCTGCCTTGCAACCTTTCTTTGACTCTTTGACTCGCTCTCTCTTTTCCTCTTGTTTTTTGACGCGGATCATTTCTTGTTTCACTAGGGACCTGCAGGGTCCTGATGCTTCTGAGGAAGGGAAGACTTCAATGGAGGCCTCTTCAGCATTGTAGTTTGTTCAGTGCCAAAGTCGGTCGGTCGCCTCATCACTGTCACTATGTGTTTCAGTATATATGACCATCCACTGGTCATCCTCTAATACTTTGAGACGAACAAATCCAACATCCAAAGATGATCCTTTGCGCAACATGTATTGTTTCCCAATCCAAGACTTCAATCGCCTTGTTTTGGAGAATGGTGCCGCTGCGGTTGACTCAGTTGATCCAACGTGTACACAAAAATCACTTACTGTTTGGCGGCGGATGGCTTGCTCCAAGGAATTCTGTGTTCTTGCTCCATGAACCCTCCAAACTGCAACCATTGAAAAAAAACAGATGGCTCCATCTCCTTACCACGCCCCGCAATTCCTTGACATGCGAAACTCGCCCCCCTGGGCACCGCCAAAGGGAGGAACAGGTCCGCTGCGGATCGCTGCGGAACAGGTGCAGTTCAACGAGTTGCCCCTGGGGGTGAGCGACGTGTTCTTGGTCCTCTCCAGCCCTTCCCTGCCGAGCCTTGGAGCGAAGGCGTCGAACCGGGCCCTGACGGAACCGCCTGCTGTTGATGACGGATGTAGATGCAACATGATGCAAATCCATGCATCGGGGCTTTGATATGCTTTGATGTTGAAATCTAAGTGCGTGATCATTTGAGCCCTTGCAAATGCCGGTGTTTTGAAGCGCTTGAAGGTTGGGGACTACTTTTGGACTCGACTCAAGTTCCCACATAGAGAGCAGGGAAGGCTCAATATTGAAAGTCATATACTGTATATATATAGCTTTTCCGACTGCAAGCGGCACAAGACTTGCTTGCAGCAAGGATATGCCCTTTTGGTTGCAAGGCCTTAGATGCAGGCTAGAGCCTTGTTGTTGGCAATGTGTTCTGAGATGTTCTGAGGATCTCGTCTTTCAGCGATATCACCATGCAGGTGAAGGCGGGCAAAATTGCGTTGCACAAGAGATGAGAGAGGGAGAGTGAGGTGAGGTGAGGTGAGGCGAGGTGAGGTGAGGTGAGTGAGTGAGTGCGCGTATGTGTTTCTGCAGAAGGCTCATAGAGAGCTAGTTGTTGACAACAATATCTCCATGTTGGTGAGACAAGTGTCCGAGCTGGTCACCTGCCGAATGAGGACGTGAGGCATGAGGGGCACAATGTCTCAGATGTTTTCGAGCTGACGCCATCAGTGACTCGGCTGGCCGACAGGGCCAAGCGAAGAGAAGAACAGAGGGATATCCTGGTGACAGCGTTCACATTGACTCATTGACTCATGGACCGTTTGTTTCCCCATCACTGTTGTTGTCGTAGCCCTTCCCTTTTCCGCTCACATTTTTGCTGTGCAAAAATGACAGGGTCAGGGTCCAGGGTGCAAAATGACGTGTGAACACACCTTCGTGTGCGAAGAAAAGAAGTCACGCCATCCACCCTGAGTCCACCCAGGACCGAATGAATGGGAACAGTTCCATACAACGATACACAAATCAAAACATATAACTATGGAAACTGCTCAGCAGTTCCGTCCTTCACAGATCTCCACCTTTCCGGGCCCTTTGAGATCCTTTTGGCCGGGTGGTGATCCAAAGGTGGAGAAGGACACGGCGCTCATCGCATGCCGCTGCTCACGCTCCGTGGAGAAGACCCAGTGGGGCGAGGGCATTTGGACATTGGAGATGATCAGCTCGTCCAGTGGGGGTCAGGCAGAGTTTTCCGCATCGAACCGGGAGAGGATGAACATTCAGGGGATAGGAAGTTGAAACAGAGGTCAGGTGCACCCCTACACATTCAGTCTGGGATTTGTTCAGGAAAGTACGGATTCAACTCTTCAAGGTGCTTTCCCTGCAATGCCCGCACGTAATGACCGTCATCTCCGGTCCTCGCACCGCAGGCGATGGACTACCGTCCGGTGCTGCAAACACTCTATGCCATTCAAGCAGCCACGCGTGTGACCAGGCTGGTCGTTCCAGGTCTCCATCCGCGTCGAACCGTTCACCGGCTGAACGGATTTCTGGCGGAAAGGGGTCGGATCTTCACTCTTGGGGAGTCGACCTCCCCTTCTCTTCCCGCGGAAGAGAAGGGCTTTTCTCCGCCCCTTCTTGGGGTGGGAACCATGGGGGTGTCGAAGCCAGCGGTTGAAGTTCCTCCTGTGTCGGCGGCATCGGAAGAAAAGAAGACTGGAAACCCAAAGGTGAGTGTTGAAGCTGAGACCCATGTATGGAAATAGTTACTTGCATTGCATGGGTCATATTTCACGGGACCTCCTGCGGGATCATGGGTCCTTCGTTGTTTGGAATAGATGCTGACCCTCGTTGCCTTCCTTGTGACATGTGGGGGAAGCATGGATCAGTGTCCCAGGGACCGGTCGGCCAGGCAATTGCAGTGGCCCTACAAAGGAGGACGCAATGCGTCCAACGGAGAGGACGGAGAACACGGATGTGCTGAGCGACGGTCAACCGGTGCCGAAACCAGGTGCTTCGAGTCAAGCTGTATCATGCTGAAACGGGACCGAAGAAGTCGATGCACAGCAGAGGGGCTGACCCGCGCGCCCCAGCTACGCTCGCAGCCAGGAGAGTAAGACTCTGAAGTTGGGGCGCAAGATGCCATTGAGGCTACTCCGATCTGCAAGGGAGGGACTTCAGAGAGAAGGAACCATGTCGCTGGACCTCTTGGGAGTGAAATGAAACAGGAAGCCACTTATGCTGCTGTTGGGGGAGTGATGGGAAGCCCTGAAGAGGATTGAAATGGCTTGAATGATCTTGAATGCAGCTTTCAAGAGGTGAAATGAAGAGTCATGGTTTCGAGACATAACTGACATAACTCGAGTGGGTCGCAGGCGGAGTAACAAATTAGATCTAATTACATCTAATCCATGTGTTCAAATCAACTCTCCCCTAGAACCTAGAAGAGGAGTTGCATCATAAGAGGCCCTACGAGGAACATATTCAACCATATAACGAGATTTGAAGAGCTGGTGACACTGGCTTGTACAAGGGGCCGTGAAGCACAAGGCCCGGAAACTATAGCACACCGGTAGCAACAAATTGTCCGTTTGTGCGTGTTTTTCGTCCCGGATGGCTTCTTCCATTTGCGACAGGATGGATGGCATCGAAAGTGCTGATGCTGTCATGGTGAAAGGAGGCCGCCAAACAGATTAGTCGAGTGATGTCAGTAGACTAGACGCTACAAATCCAAAGATTCCAAAGGGGTGGCCTGTAAACAAACAGATATGCGTGTGTAATGGCGTGCATTTTAATAGGGAGGTCTCCCACCAATGGGTTTTGGTTTATGCCCCTTCTTCCAAGAAGGGTTTTTGGGAGGCCTCCCTATTGTTGTCATTACACGCTGATATTGTTTTTTTGATGTTCGCCACCTAAGTCTAAAGTGGTCGAGTTGTGCGTCATGTAATGTACTACTAGAGCAGCAGCATGTGGCAAGAGCAAACTCAGTTGCTGTTGGACGTTGGTTGGGTTCGATGTTGATGTTTGAGGCGTTTCCGCGACTGCGGTTTGTCGATGTTTGTGGGTTGATTTCGACGAATTGTTTTCACAAAAGCAGGAGTAGGATTTGAGATGTTTGGTATAAGCTCAAACCCTACTCCTGCTATAAGCATTCTCTTTTTTTCGCAGCCCACGATCAGTTTAAACCGATCGGCGTGGGTATACCCAACCGCCAACCACGTTGAAGCTCATAAATCGATGTTGGGGACTGTACGAGCGACCACCATCTCCATCCCTCATCCCTTTTGGTTTGGTTTGGGGATCCCGTGTTGGGTTTTGGGGCTTGGTTTGGGGATACCTTTGGGTCTGGGGGTGGTTGGTTTGGTTTGCAGCCCCATGTTCTTCTCATCCCTCAGAGGTTGGAGCCATTCCCTTCACAAGCTGCTGGGTAGAACCCCTGCTGCGACAGTTTCTCCGTGCATCCGAAATGAGTGTTTGGCCAGTCGTATGTCTTACGCACTCACCTCTAGACAAGGGTATATAACCTTTCCAAATAATACGAAACGTATATCAATACTTTAATATACTGTAGTTTAACTTCAATTCTATCCCTGTATCAATGGATGGGCTGACACAATGTCACAATACTAAAATACACGGCACAGTGGAAGTGATGACCCCACCAACCCACACACACACACACACCCTGGCCGCACGCACACATCTTGGCTGCCGCGCATTCTCAGGCTCACCGCAGGCGTCCCCACGGGGTGGCAGCATCCAGCTGCCGTAGCATCGCTGAACGGTGGTGTGGAGGGCAAGCTGCCACGAAGGGATGGTGGAGTCCAAACATGAGAAGACCACAATGCTCAACGCAGGTACTCATGGCCCACATTCATTACCTCAATCCTTCAATAATTATAGGCGATATTTAATGCCTGCATGTAGCAGATTGTAGCAGAACAGGTTGCTTTTCCTTTGAGAGGGATGTGGGTAGCATACCCTTTAATATATTGACTAGCCAATCGCCTGGCCAAAATATGTGAATAAAATGTGGCCATCATTGATTTATAAGATAGAACGACAGAAAGAAATACAAAGAATGAAAAGAAAAGACATACAAATAGAAGATACAAATAAAATACTATACAGATAAGAGAACTGATAAGAGACAAAGAAATAATAGAATGAACTATATTGACTAAGCGGGGATTTTTACTTACCTGTCAAGGAATATTGCTACCGGTAACTGTTACCTTAGGACCTTTTCCTCGCTTACAGCCGCCGTGTCGTCGATGAACGGTCGCGGTGTCCCAAAAGCATCAATCGACCGGTGATGTTCAAAAGGATGCCAGGACGGACTGCCCGTTTCGAAAGCCCTCTGGCCCCCAAACGGCACCGGCCGAAACGCGGCACCGGGCAGTCCGTCGCAGTCCTCGGGATGTTTCACCGGTCGACTCCGTGGAACAGAGCACCGTCCGACGGGTGACCTCGAGTGATGGTGACCGGGTGCGTTTGTGACCGGCGCTGATGGGACGAGCCGGATCATTGGGACAGTTGGGGTCGAGCCGCGCCACGCACAAATCCTACAAATCGCAAAGTAGAAAAGGAGATCCCATGAAATCCATGTTTGGGACATATTTGACCGTCTAAGCTTTTTGGGGAGGATGATTAGATCAGATAGTTTGTCTAGCCCTGACACGGTATTTTGTGTCAGATTGCTGAGGAGCATCGCTTCAAAGACTCCTCGCTCTGGGAGCAGGAGCAGAGTTTTGGATGTGTCGGTTTGATTTGAGATGAAGTCCCAGATTCCCAAATCCCACACTATACTATACTATTGGGGGGGGGGGTGTCAAACTTGCCACTTTTCATACAAGACCAATTTGAGGTTCAAACCTTTGGGCATGATATCTTGCTGCACGCTAGCAATTAACCGAAACAAGAAACATCACAAGTCAAGGGGCAATGTGAGATACTGCCAGGTCTCTCACTCCACACCTGTCCAGTGACACTCACAACATTGATTTGGTACTCCTTTCGAATACGTGTACATCAGTGCATCCATCAGCATCCATCACAGTGGCATGTGGATATCTCCATGCTATCGACTTCAACTGAATTTCTTCATCAGGAAGCATACCCAAGACACATTGAAATCCCGTGATGAGGAGGAATCTCTTCCATGTTCCTGCCAAGAATCAGGGTTTCTGGAGGCGGTTTTGGGAGCTTGGTGAATATTGAGGGGCCCATGGAGACCCAACAAAGATCAACCACGTGCTGCCCAGCGGCAGGAGGAGTAAGGATTCAAGCAATGAGGACTGACAGTGAAATGGGCTGTGGGGGAGTGATTGCTAAGAGCGTTCCGAAATGGCGATCCTGCGCCTTTTTTGCACATGAGTTGCACAAATAGTATAAGAAAATATAAGAAATGTGCACAAACATGCACAAACTGTTTAATTCTGGCAGGCGCACCATGTGGCACCCTTTGGTAAACTAGCATGGAGGCCTCCAGTCAACAGTTTCCTTGATTTGTCCAATACTTGATTTCTCGTAGCATTTGTCCACATGCCTCAAACACATTGACTTCACCTACTACTTGTGGCTTTATATAGGAACCTAGTGTGGTGGGGACGCATGTCCATGGTCCCATGGCACACCCATCCCGTTAGGCCGTTAGGCTTTTGGCTTTAGCGCAGGAGGGAACTCGAAGTCTTCCATTGACGGCACGAGGCGGATGGAAAAGCTGTCAGGTTGAAACGACCCACGGCAGTGGGTTTATGCCTATGCTGACATGTAGTCTTAGAGATGATCCATCGCGGCACCAAACTAATTGGTTGAATTGAGACATGTGGAGAAAGGCCGTTTTGGGGGCTTCATTGGCTTCGTGTCACAAAGCGAGCGTGTTCGCCTTCACATGCTTTCACCAGGATCTGTGGGATTTGGGGGCCCAGCTATCGTTGTCAAACATGAGCATTTTCTTTGTGGTCAGGTGTTGATGCGGCGCGTACGATGAGCATCTTGATTGATCTCAACGACGGCGTGGATATCATGGATAATTATGGATAGACCCTCCATGGCCACCTCAGTTGAAGGATGACGCCGACCACACCAAATTTTTTGGTGGTTTTTGCACACAACAGTTCCCGGCGTAAACGGTCAACTGTGCAACACCACTGTTGCCAAACAACCATCCCCTGCATGGTTTACCGGCAGTGTTGTGAGGAGTCTATTGCTGCATGGCAGCAATGCCCCGGTCACCAGCCCAAAAGCATTGGAGAGAACCTCTTTGACCTTTGAGGTTTCGGGCACGCCATTGGTCCTTAAAGATGTTTGTTGGTCCTTAGCCGCTGGTTTTGTGCAGAATGTGGTGCATGCAGGGTATCATTCCTAACATCGAGACTTTCATTTTCACCATCTTCAGGGCCCGTTGTTGATTTTTGAGAAGATCATATGCAGGTTGCACTGGAAGAAAAGACCGTGACACACTAAGGTTGAGGGCTGTTTTGGCCCTTCTTTTTGCACAACGGGCTGCCGGAGGCATCCTTTGCACCACGGATTCACGAAGGACGTGAAACCTTAGAGATAGGATGTGGTCTTTCTGAAAGACCCAATGTGTGTAGTCTGTGCTGTTGAGGCTGCAGACGATAGTGACAAGCGCGTTTGCAAGGAAAGGAAAGAATATGGAAGAGTCGAGCGAAGCTGGCAAACATGTTCTGTCATGCATTCCTGATTGCCGCGTAGTCCTATGATGGACTTTCAAGATTTGAAGGTGTAGAACACCGCCATCAAAAACTGGGTTGGCGATTGTGTTTGCTTTCAACGCATGGGCCAGTAGGTTAGGAACGTGGGCCAGTAGGTTATGAGGCACTTTTGAAGATGTGGAGCCAACCTAAGGGTGAAATAACTAGCAGATCTTTGCTCCTCTGCTTAGAACCACGTTGACCACCTGGCAGAGAGCAACAGGTGCAACCGTGCGATTGATGCACACCAAAGGTGTACTTCAAGCAGAGATGCGAGCCAAAGGAGATACGAGCAGATGACAAATAGTATGCGGAGCGGGCGAGGTGCTATTTTCCGCGATGTGAAGCAGTGCCCTGTGTATGCCAAAGTGCCCTGTGCAACATGTGCCTAAACCAAAGTCCCGTATAGGGCGGCTGGGCCCTAACTGAACCATTACCTTGGATCCAACAGATAAACTCCAGTCCGATCCAAGGTCGCAAGGTCGCTGGGATTTATCCAGTTGGTCTTTGTATAGGAATATGATGAGACATGTATTTTAGATCTAATTAATACTGTGACGTGAAGATTATATAGGCCTTTCTTTGGGAGCCCTTGGGGCGGGCGGCTGAGCATGGGGAGCACAGCCTTGGTCCATCCCCGGCAAAACCGGTCTCGGTGGTCTCGACGTGCACCGGAGAATGGCGATCGGGGCGGGTGGATGGGGCGGACCTGGTTCAGAAAGACGGTGACGGGCGCATGACGTGGTGACGGGCGCGGGAGCCGAGTGCTTCAGGTGCAAGATGCACGGGCAGGACTGCAGGAGGTGGGAGGGTCCAAGAGGGTCCTTTTGCAGTAGGGAAAGCTGAAGACGACCCCGTGGCAAGGAGACATTCCATGCGTGTCATGAGTCCATTGGATGTAGGAGCAAAGCGCAGGCTGTAGATGGCTGTAGAAGTTCCAATTATGGCCCTCTCCGAAAGGAATCCTTTGAAAGTTGGAGGATGTGAGGATTGAGCTTCCCCCCCGTTGTGCAGCCGGCACCCCTCCAGTCAGTCCTCATGGAAGCATAGCTATGCTCATAATGTGTATGCTTATATACTGTATAATATGCGGCATAATCATGCATATATTATGTGTATGTATATTAGAATATATGTATGGGCTTGTATGGGTAGGTTTTGTGTGTGTATGTATGTATATATAACGTTCCTCCTTCCGCCGTAGCGTGGTTTTTGGGAATGGCCCTTGAGGTTTCCACAGGTGTTCATGGATTCATGGCTCGACCGTTTTAAAGCTTGTGAATGTGACCATCATGTGTGAGACAGTACGCAGTGCCAAAAGAAAGAGCTGCATCCTCAAACCTCTAGATAGAAAAGAGGCAAAGTTACAGGGGTGAGGACTGGCAAGCTTTTGGACTACTGTCCAACACTAACGCACTAGTGGTTCAAAGGTGATTCGAGATTTGATCATATATGCTTAGGATGCTTTCTTTTTTCTTAGCGCTGCTCGGCTCCGATGGGCAAGTAGCCTTCTTGACTGCCGGGGCAGCTGGGTTCCCTGAAGCGATATCATCCCCACTGAACCCATCCTCGACCTGCAGGGCTTCCACAAAAGATTGGTGGAGACACCCTGGTACCAAACACCGCAGGTGGTGAGCTCCGGCCGGCGCTGGGCCTACATCGCAGCAGCGCGGCTCCAGCGCCGGGGCAGCTCAGACGGTCATGGTCGTGGTCAAGGGTTGGTGAAAAGCTCCGAAAATCATGGACAAAGCGTGGCCAGCACCGTTGGAAAACTGCCTCTAGATTTGGAATGGGGGGTGCATAGGAGCGCCCTGAAACATCTGAAACAAACTGGAACATGCTGAAAGGTGGTGACTTGGCGGGTGCCCAAGCGGCACTGGCGGAGATTGAGAAGCTGCCGAGCCTTTGCTCGGTCTCAGGCGCGGAACGTGGCTATGGACGCGACGATATGGAATGGCCTAGAAGTTGGTGACATGAATGTAAAAAGGATGTCGTTGCCAAAATGTATTAGGTGACAAGTGGTTGACAATGGTGGTGCTGCAGGAGCCGCACACTGTTTGCATATGTGAACTTGCCAAGATATGATGTCACTAGGGGAAATGGGGGACATGCACCTGGGACGCGTGGCACGATTCAAAGTTGTATATGATGTCGAAAACGATGCGCACCAAATTCATATGAATGATGCGCGGCTCCGACGACGTTGGCTCAAATTTGGAAAGACTGCAAACAGTAGAACGACATCGCACAGGTTACTCACTACGGCTTTCACTTGCTCCAAATGCAAAAGATTCCGGACCTGCAGACTTCCGATTGTCCATGACTGTTCCGAACCCGTGGCTTCGAAGAGACCAGACAGCCATGTGCGGATCCCGTGGCACTTGTGTCGGTGGCAGCCGCGTGTCCTTCGCGCATGTCATGGAAGTGGTGGACCTGGACAGCGCCACGGTGGAACGCGTGGCCCTCAGCAAGAACGTGACTCGGACCGATGGCGAGATCCACCTGGACGAAGCATGTCATGGGTCTCCAATGGGGATCTTATTAAGTATATAGCGATAGGGTAGTCCCAGTGGTAGTCCCATTGAGGTTCAGCTTGCTTTCGATGATTGGGGATGGTTGGGATGCCTGGTGCCGGTTTGCCCTTACCTTTCCAGAAGGTGTGGGCATCCTGAAGAGGGCTGGATCATTTGTTGCTGTCTTTTGGGACGTTCCTTCAGTTCGAGACGAGCGCACGCGGAACCAGGGACCGAGCTGGCGGCAACCAGAGGCTGCGGTGTTTTAAACGACACGTACTTGACAGCTTTGGGACATGAAATTGGTCAGCAAAAAAGCAAGTTCTTGAGATTTCTTGAGACTTGTTTCTTACATGTTATAGTTTGTTTCCCCTGCCATGGAACTTTTAAACTGGATACTGGAGTCCATCCCTGATGTGACCTGTTCCTCTATGTAATGGGGCCGGAGTTTCTTTTTGCGAGGTTCTTGGTCAAGAGAGAGGTGAAGATCCATATGCAGTAGGCCTGAAGGTGTTTTATCAGATGAGTGCCCAGATGAAAACCTGCTCTGTGATCCAACCGGTCATGATTACTGCTGCGTGACGAATAGGAAACTTCTTGTGGCATATCCGTCCAACTCTGAGAACAAAATCGCACACACACACCAGACATTCTCCCGCCACACCATTCCTTCACTTTCAAAGTTTGGCCACCCCCATGACACTGAAAACGCAATGGTGGGTTTGTTTGCGCATGATGGGACTGCAGGGCCCCCGCATTTCTGGATGGGTTGAAGGAGTGGGGGATTTTTCCGCGTGTTGTGCATTGAGGAGCGGCCAGCAAAGCACTTGCGAGACTTCTTGGCCAAACACAAATTCCTCCATGCGGATCGCCCACGGCCCTCGTACGTGAAAGGGCCAGAGATGTATCCCATTCATGTGGCGGCAGCACTTGGCAATGCGCATATCTTGAGAATGCTCTTGGACGCAGGTGCAGATCCCACTCGGCGTGTTGATGGCAAGACCGCCGAAGGAATTTGGGTGGTGGTTTGGAATGTTTTTTTCTTCAACCCCCAGGGGACTTATACAGATAGATCCCCATCTATTGTTCTTTGGGCACGGTTTGAACCATCAACCAGGAATTGCTGAGATTCTCAACCGAGAAGGTTCACACGCGGCCTTCATACGCACTTTGCGAGAAAGGGCTTTCTGCAGGTGTGATGGTCAGGGCTGTGATGTGTGTGACGTCCTGTATTCTTTGAGCGTCTAAGAACCTTACGGCTGGAAAGTACGGTCCTTTTCTTCTCCAGTATTCTTTAGTAGTTCTACTGCGCTTTGAGGCTTTTCCCAGCACCTCAAGGTGAATTTCAGTGCTGGTTTCTACGTGTTTGAGGCTTTTCCCGGCGCCTCAAGCGGATGTCAGTTCTGATTTCTACAGCCATGAGGCATTTTGAGGCTTTTCCCTGTGCCTCAATGGATCTTGCATTTTGCAGCTCAAGCCTGTCAAGGGATAGTGGCTTCAGCATTTTCCGGTAGCAGTGGGATATTCACTCCCTGAATAATCATGGAAGTGGAACATGATCCCTCAGATGACCATGCTCCTCTACAAACAAGTGGTTTTCCACTTCCATGTGAATGACTCGGAGAATAGACAGATTGTGAACTCACTATCGGGATGCTGCCTGATGCTTTTCCCTGCACCCGAAGGATCACTGGACTGACTAGCTGCTACCTTTTTGTGGATGTCTCCTTTCCATGCTGAACACCTCGTGCTTCATGAGGATGGAGAGTGACACGGTCGTCTGGAGAGATAAAGGCGAACGTGAAAATTGCATTTCGCCTCGAAAAAGCAACAATCTCACAAGGCACGTTTCTTGCGTTCTTGGGATGACAGATCCCACCTGCATGTTGTGCTCGCTCTTTCCCGGATGTGTAAGCCTTGTTCACCGCGCCGGATATGGCAAGCCTTTGTCCTTTGTCTTCAATCAATGGTTATATAATTGAGAATGTTCCCTCCAGCAAAAGGTGACATGAACTCATTGGGTGAGGGCAAGAATATAGCCCCGCCCAGCGACGACAAGGTGGCACGTACCCGTTGCACCGTTATTCTAGTGAGTTTGTAGGGAGATCTGTTGCAAGCGGACCAGATCCTAGCTTCTGTTTGGAAGCGGGCCAGGTTAGACAGGACAGACCTGGACAGACCTTGGGGATCAACGTGAAACTCTCCAGATGTTTGGAAGTGTGCGCTACAGGTAGTACCTGGTAGAGGTAAGGGATAAGTGGTCCATATAGAGTCTGAGCCAATCATTCCTTGACTCTGAGTACTGGTTCTCAATCGACCACTAGTCCTTGCGATAAATATGGTTCTGCGAAGCTGGCTGAGGTGGATCTTGAGAGGCTCCATGAGGCTCCCAGGCTCAGTTGTAGCTACCTTCTGAGAAGGTCTTTTATTGGATTTCATGGGAGCTCGACGCCCATCGATGCCCATGGATTCACACCCCGCGGGTCACGGGCGGTCGAGTGGTCCTGCCCAGACTTGTGGTCCTTGCCGGAGAGTCGCCTCCGCTTCTGCGAGTCCTGCAATGTCTCGGGGTTCCTGGAGGCGGGGTCAAAAACGTAGGTTGGAGAGGCCATCGCCATTAGGTTGGAAGGACATATAAAGAGAATTAAAGATATGACTATATACCGTCTACATGATTGAAGGTTTTCCGAAGACGGGTCGAAATCGGACACCTGAAGATTTGTCATGTTGCATGTGATGGACTCTCTGGCAATGAGGAATCATGTCACTTCAGTAAAATGTGAAAACTCATCTCATTTAGAATGAATCATGTGGGCTGGACATTCGCGACCATCTTGGCTTTGGCCACTCAGGTCTACATCCAAACGTTGGCCTTCCAGAAGTTTCTGGAAACGGGTCAACTTCTACCGGAGGTGCCCAGTCTTTCCGTGTATTGACTGGCTTATGCGAAGTCACAAGTTCCAGGAAGGAATGCAGGAGTGGCTGCAAGATGATTCCACATGAGCTACTCCAACTGCAGGCTGCAAACACCAAAATAAGAACAGCTGCTTGCTGCAAGTGTCTACCGATCAACACGGAGTGCTTCTTCAAATCGAGTTCCGACTTCTGCGTGCCTCAGTAGAGGTGCCAAAGAGGTGGCGCATTGAGATCCCGGAGTTTGATAATGAGCCCGGTGCCTGAAAGACAGATGGACACTCCTCAAGTGACCAGGGGAAGAAACGTGACGGGTGGTCCAGGACCTCCCCGGCGATAGATGTTCATACCACATGTCTGGGCTGCTATGCTTAATTTCTTTGTAATCATCCACGGAGATTGCATGAGATAGCTATGATTTCAGGGTAGTGCAGTATTGAACAAACACATCAAACAATATCAAGCATATATCACCAGTGAGCTTGTTGACCAGAAGCTGATGCGTTGGTGGCTCATGATTGCTCCAAATAAGCATTTGAAAGCTTGCCTCGGCAGAGGTCGCATTTGTTTATATGATGATGATGATTGTTCATGATGTTTCCGCATGGTTTGGTACACTCACATTCTTCACGGGCAGAGAAGAAGAAGTGTGTGCACCCCGGCATCCGCTGGCATTGGCTTCTCCACTGTATACCTCTTCAACGACCCCAACGACCGAAACCACCATCGACGGTCCAATGGGTGGTCCTCGGAGGAGGATGTTTGCGGATGTCCAGCCGAAATGAGGTGCTACTTGATGGGTTTGATCGGTGCTTTGCGGGAAATGGAGAGGCGAGAGTTTTGTGAGCTCCGGGAAATGGCAGGTGATGGAGAAGCCGGAAAGGACAGGGAGAGAGCTTTCGCTGCCTTGAAAGAATCTGGCAAGGAGGTATTGCGAATCAGGGCAGTGAGGCCATGAAAGACAGATAGGTGCAGGGTGGTGCATCAATAGATTATAATCGATTCATTGCCTCAACAGCAGCATATGTTATTGCAGCATAGCTTAGTATGCAAGGCTTCTGCTTTTCTCCAGCTCGGTTGCACAGAGAAGCTCCAGCTCAGCCACTTCAAGCCGGACAGGTACGCGGTGAATCGTGGCCAGGCCAGCCGGAACATGTCACGTGAAGCCAGCTCGTTTTCCTGCGGGACCGGGTCATTGAGGTGTACTATCGTGGAACCCCAAGACCCTGACTCATGAAACAGGAGAACCTAGTTCCAAAATGAGATTCAGGCTGATTCAGATATGGATCTTCAACAGATTGTCTTCGAATATATAGCTATTTTGATATGCCTGCGGTTGCCTGCAGTCAGTGGTCGCTTCGCTGCACGTGTCGTGTGGCTGTTCTCCTAAAGGGAAGATAAGGGAAATAATTATGGCTTTCAATCGCAGAATGGAGAGGAAAGCAGATGCATGTTCATGGTACCTCAAAGGCCTTTGCTGACTCCGTCTTTGACCTCGAAGGACTTGGACTTGCGATCCGTGCAGATCTGCCTGCAGCTGGGGCAGAGCCTTGAAGAGGCCCCGTAAAAAAAAGGGAACGTTGGACCAGGGAGGACTGGACAGGTTGCCTAGGTAGGAACCTGGGCAGGTTCCGGATGTCTTTTCCACGTTCTTTTTGCTGCTTAAGTCGAAGGTCTTGTCATGCTACTGACAAAGCCTGACACCCTGTATTGACCTTGGGTATTGGGGGAACAACCCAACCGGTCCTAAACTTGACATATATTATACGTGAACCATCAATGACAGATGCTGAGGTTGCTGAGATATGGTGGATGAAGCTTAGGGAATGAGCTCCTTGGTGCGCCCGGGGTTGTGCCATACGCGCATTGCAATGGAGTGCAATGGTTTGCACATTGGCATTGCAGGTTGTAACAGAGTTAGATCCCACTAAACAAATGTTGCAATTATACATGTTATACATTTTGCCTGAATGGACCTCTTTCCTCAGGTCTTAATGCAGTTCAACTTTCGGAATAGCTCTTTGAGGCAGCGCCGGGGTTCTCAGAGCTGAAGAACGAGAAGTGGAGGATCGGGTCGTGTGAAATGAGCTTGGATATTTATTCAAAACTGGGTTGGTTGGGGACACCTGGGCTAGGGGATGGTTGGACAGGCATACAGGCCTGGAAGACGAAAAACATGACAGGCCAAGTGAGTCGCAGAGATCCAAACATTGTCTTCCGACTCGCAACTGCTGAGCCGCTCGGTGAAGGTCTTCGAGGCAGCTGGGCTGGGATTAGACAACCAAGCTACGGACCATATGCCTTGCTAGTGACGTGCTTGGTTTCGCCCTGTGGGTTTGTGGGTCCATATTTGGGAGGATTAATTTGTTGAATGTTGCTGGATAAGACGAGCTTCCAGCTTCCATGTCGAGATTGAATCATCCAAAATCCATGGCATATACTAGCATCCATCCATTGAAGATTTTTGTATGCTACCCATGGATCCTTTGGCAAACCACTGGCATGGCGAGAGCCTTTTTACTCTCAGGCCGATGTGTTGTTTTTCGCCCCAGGCTTTGACGGAGTGAAGTACTCGGTGAAGAGGCCACTTGACAGAACGTTGGTTGAGCAAAACCCATCTTCTCTGAATCGATTTCGATCGATTCCGGCCGTTCCGGCCAGAACAGATGAAGGTGCCAGGGCGTAACAACCTTGGTTAAGGACCACCAGACCAAACTCTGATCGCAGTCAAGGTTGATGATGGTTGATGGGTGCCAAAAGGAATTTCTGCAAGTGCTTCGTGCACTAGCTGGGAGCCGTGAATCCCCCGTCTCAATCGGTGTTTGGTAGAAAGAGTGTCTCCGTATCTCTTACCCTCCCTCCAACAAACATGGAAGCTGACCAGGACCACTTTGTAGAGGAAAGCAGTCTTCCAAGGGGCCACGCTCCACTTCCCGGGGCCTTGTTTCGGGGAGTGTATCTCAACTGTAATCTTCAGACATTCACCAGAAGCTAAGTGGATGCGCCAAGTCACGCCGTAGTGATTCAGCTCAATTGGGCGGATAATGCTGCTAAGATGGTGGCTCGTGGGGATCACTTGCGTGTGCCGCGCTTGCAATCCTTTCTTGGGATATTCCCATTATCGCCTCTCCTCTGCTTCCGACTGTGATGGCTTTTACTATGAGTTTAAAGACTACATGCAAATCCGCTTCTATGCAAGCAACGGAGACGAAGTTGCACATGAGAAATCTGAAGGAGATATCTCTCTTTTTCCCTGTGCGAGTGTGATGCTCCACGTGTCCAGCTCTGCCCAGATTCACAGATTTGAAGTTTCGTCCACTGGGGTTTTGGGCGATGTTTTGCGCTTGCAATGTGGCTATAGCCAGTACTTGTTCGCACAGTCGCAGTTAGCATTTGTGATGTCACAGGCCACTGAGTATATCTATTACTCTTCCAGTGGCTGTGCGGAGGGTCTTGCTCCAACCGCGACAACCACCCCTAGCAGCACCACAACAGAAGCTTGGACAAAGACATGTGTTCAAAACAACCTTTACAGGTGTGTGGTGTGAGTGTGTGTCTGAGAGTTCATTTCAAGTGCGGCAGATCCTCCCGCACAAGACATGTAGCACCAACGCAAGCATTGACCCTGATCAAGCAGGTTAAACAAACATTGTCAAGAAAATCTTTTTGTTCCCGTATTTTCATGTACTTAAGCAACATGGAAGCGAGAAGGTGTTGTTTTTCACAGTCAGGTCTTTTTCCATTCCTTTTCCATCCCAAGTCCCACTTTTGTAGACTTCTTGTCTCGGTTTCAACCCTCGCGTCACGCGCGCTCGCTCTCCCCGCCGGGCGCTCGGATGACTTGCTCCGAGCAGGATCCGAATTGGATCACGGTGCCTGTGAACGATTTCCCCAGCGGCGCCTACCAGCTGGGTGTCACCTGGTTGCGGCTCTCAGCAGCGAATCCTGCAGCCTGGAGAATTGGACACGGAAGATGCACCAAAGAGACGTGGAAACTGGGCCCGGCAGGTGAGCCCCATTCACAGATAATCAACTGGTACTAAATGCTCCTCTCATTGGTTTGGTCTTCAAGTGGCACCAAGATCTCTCTGAAGCAACCCTGAGTGGCCCAGCGAAGGAACCCCGATCCGACTCGCTTTTGACTCGCATTTGTACACGCGATCGTGAAAACGTGCGCCAACATGGGTCAGATCCGAGGTGGGCAGCGATGAGTGCGAATCGATTTGGGGCGTGGATTTGGTGAAAGTCATAGACATCGATGAAGAGCTTGAGACCTCAGGCACCTGGAAGGGCGCGAAGCGTGCGCGGCCCGCGCGCACGAAGCCAGAAATGACTTGGGAAGTGTGGAGCAACTGCAACACATACTCGAACTTTTGATTAAAGGGTGTCATGGAGGTTTGGGCCGGGTCCATGATTGTTGGGAGATTTTATTGAAGGGTAGTTGTCGGCAAGGTCTTTGAGGTTGGCTGGGTTCTGGCCAGGTTTTGCGCGGCAATTCAAAGCAGTTCATTTGCTGAAGATTAGTTTGCTTGTGAGTTGGCAAGTGAACACCTTTCTTAGACAACACAATACTGCTCCTTGTGGTCGTTTATAGAAGCTGTGTCAAGGCTTGCCAAACTTGGCTCAAAGCACCAGGGTCGCCAAAGCTTCGCCAGCACCCAGTCACCAAACTCACCATACTGATCATACTGTGCATCAAATATGTTTGTGGTGCACGTATACTTTGCAATCCAATCTTGCCTTGGTCTTTGGACAGATCTGACAATCGTTTTGGAGATCCTCCAAAATCTTCCAAGTGACAACTATGTTGATTGCATCATATGATTCATACCTCTCTTACATTAATTACCCTACTCCCTTTGCTGAGAGGCGTTTGGCCTTGGACATCAGAGGGGCCGGGCTTGGGTTGCAGCTGCTGGAATGTTTCAAAGAAGGGATCCAATGGATTGGACATGGCCATTGGCGGCATGAACAGCAGGATCACAAGCATCCAGATCATCCAGCGCCTGGACTTTGAACATTCAACATGTTCGAACGGTTCCAGCAACTGCAACTATGTACTACGGAGAACGTTTATGTACGGTATCATGGATATAGGCAACCTTATTTAAATATAGATAAATAGATAGATATACAGTATATGTACTGTATATATATATATGTATATGTGTGTGTTTCTACTATATTCTATATAGAGAAAGGTTGTCTATAAAGATACCGTAAGAGATATGGCAGCTCCCAAGGACCTCTCGTGTCTCCAATGCGCAGGTGAAACCGCTCTTGGATTTACGCCTGGAGCGCTGGCACGGCGCAGACAGTTATGTCAATGGGCCCAAGAGCAACGAGCCTGAGGTCATGGAGGTTGGGATAGGTCATGACGAGTCATGAAAGATCATGAAAGGATGAGGAAGATGCAGCACACCAAGGTGTTCGGTAGGAAGATGTCAGGCGTGTGAAGATGTTGCCATCTCGCAGCCCACCGGATGGCCGTTAAGTTTGCAGGTGCCCTTGTCGCTCGGTGAGACCTGGATCAATTGTGACTACTGGACGGGCTGTGTGGTCAAGCTGTCGGAGTGGCCGGATCGAGGCTCAACATGACGGCGACGGGCGGACGAAACCAGTGGGTGGATTCACAGGTTCACTCGTTGTCTCGAGTTTTTTCCATGTTTTCTCGAGCCTTCTGAATCGGCGCCACCGAAGCTTTCGGGTGGTTCCATAAGGAGAGGGTTTTTGTTAAGCCACCCTTTGGGTGCTGCTGGTGTCCTTGTGTGTATTTAGTTATAGTTATATATGGTTGTTTGGTCGACTGGGATGGAGGGTCAACCCAACCCCTTTGAGGCGCCAAAGAGGGAGTGTAGTTGCCAGAGCCAGCAGTGTGGCTGTGACCATGTGACATGATCCAGGCTACTGGCATCAACCGGGCAAAAGGGAATTGGTTGGCCCCTGCTTAGCAGCAGATTGGTCTTCCGGGTGGTTGTTTTGGACACAACCTCGTTATATAGTACTCCACAACTATGCTGGCTGGCTGGCTAATATACCTCGCAAAGGGTGAAAGAAAAACCCGAAATTGGGGAATTCGAACGTTGGGGTAATGAGTTCTTGCCTAGTTTGCATGATATTCTGTTTGATTCCCACTTCCAATTTCAACATGGATTTGCTACTGGGACATGTGGCCCAATATATGGGCCAAGCATACGACCAAGCTGAAGAGCCACAGGCAAAGTTGAACAGAAACAGGCACTCGCCCAGCCAAGGAAGATGTGGAGTGAACACCACCATCATGACCACTTCGTCAGCTACGACCACCTTCGTCTCATCCACCACGACGACTTCAGCCACAGAGACCAGGACGAGCTTCACGTCCACGAAGACCACAAAGACCACCTCCTTGGCACCTGTGACGTTCACCGGAACCACCGTGCACAGTCAAAGCACCACCGATATCGAAGACCAAACAGAGAAGGAGTGCAACCCCTTCAGTGGCTGGCGCTACTTGAGCTTCAAGAGTTGTGCACAGGTGGAACTTGATCTCGGAAAGGGCACCTAACAACTTATGTAGGTGCCAACATAACCCGCAAAGCGTCCCAAACATCCCTTCAGAAATGGACACGTCCAACAGAACGGTACCTGGGGCGAACCGAGACGTCCGACGAAGCGGTGTCCAGTGACTGTCCCGCCACTTGGCAGCGAGTTGGAGGTCACCCTCTTTGGCCAACGCTCCCGGAAAAAAGATGGAACAAGTATATAGAACATCTCCTTATGCAAGTCAGGTGCCTTAAGTATCCTTAAGTTTCATCTTCCTTTAAGCGCTTTTAGGCTGCTTTTGGATGTTCCTCCATCCAAGACCCCCTTGGTTTGCGGGGGATTTGTCCAGCTTTTTTGGTTCGGAATGGCTGTGAAATGTCTTTCCAGGTCCTCACCATCTAAGGTGCCCCGCATTTAGGTTGTGGATGTCCGCGTCCGGAAGCTGTGGAAGTCCAGCTGGACTTGCTGGACGAGTTTGCCGTTTCAAAGATCGAAGCTTGGAAGATCGTGGCGGAACTTGAAGTGGATCCTAGACGCGACAGTCAGAGCTGGTGCTATATGTTATATAGTATATTTTGTTACAAGTTATAAGTTATAATTTGTTATATATATATATTTTATATGGTTGTTTCTCGCTATACATTGTTGGTATTGCTGAGCAACCACTCCAACTTTGATATAGAGCGCATGCAGATACGGAAGTAGTATGATGTAAGATGGGCTCACAGCAAAACAAGCAGAGGTTGAGTGGATGAAAAAAACAGAACAGGCATACACTTCGCAATTTCTCCACACGTCTGACCGGGCGAGTTTGACTTCGACATTCAGTCCCACAGGATGGGTGTAGATGATGTAGATGGGTCGAGATGGGTCGAATGAAACAGGCTGGATTTGGCTGGGATAGAAACTAGCTTTTCCCCATCCTAGACAGCGCAGTGCCGGAGTTCCTTAGCGGCGTTGTTGGCGCCCAACACACTCGAACATGTTACATGGTTATATAATAGTCCAGGAAGATTCTGCTCATGGGTGCTGTCAGATGTGGAAGTACCACGTGTGGTTGGAGCATCGGGGAATCTTAAGGAGGTCCAATCACTTGAAAGTCAAATGACAGATGTTCTTGTGTTCTTTGACATCATTTGACTTTACGTACTCGACTTTACGTACTCGTAAAATCAATCGGGTCACGTCAACATCCGACTGTGGAGATTCTCAAACATCGCACAAAGTCAGGAGATTCTGCAAGTGCGGGAGGGGGCAGTGGCTTCGATTTGTGTTTGGTGCTTGGACGAGTCGGGCCAGACTCCTGGAAGCTCCTCAGCTTCGATCGACACACGCGAAGCCGGGATAGGGATTCGCCCGTGGTTAGTGGAGAAAGGACACCAGGGGCCTTATGACACCTCCACAAACCAGTCGGGTAGTTGGTGGGTCATGTCGAGATGATCATCACCGAAATAACAATCCATTCTTTGATTTGGAGATGGGCGAAGTGTTGTCCGCCACAAGTGAAGACTCCTCTCTGGATTCATCCGCCACCTCAACCCTATGTTCTTAGGTTAGGACCACTTTGCACCTTCACACGCCTTGACTGCAGGTGGAAGTGAGTTCCCCCTCTCTCGGACCTTGACTACCATTCAATGCTCCGCCAGTGGCTGCATGAGCAGTGAGCCCCAAGTGAACCTTCAGTGCGAAGACCTTGCACCTTGCCGGAAAGACGTGTGGACCTTGCAAGGTAACCTCTCTAGCGACACTAGTAGTGGTTCTGTTGAAAGTGTGGTAGGGATGATCTCCACTGCACACAAAACGAGGGGTCCACGACTGCTGTCGACTGCTGTTATGTCACTTCAGAAGTTTACATCATTTCAGAGTCAATGCTGCTGGTGCGTTTCGTGAAGTTCTGTTTGTGCTACGATGTTGGCAGGGAATGAAAAATACACAGGTTAGGGCGAGGTGGTTTAGAGTCCATATCTCCCCAAGCATAGATTTGATGACTTTTGCATTTGGCACTTGTTGACTGGTTCTTGGGTTTGCCACTGCACATGATAACCTCTAAGTCTATGGTCAAATGGTCATCGAAGAGAGAATTTGCAAGGAAAAAGGAGCAAAAGGTGCATGCCAAACGAAAAGGCCAAGCAAAACAACAAGAGAGGCCAAAACCTGGAGGCATCAAAAGCAGTGGCCCGTGTGCAGAAAATCCCACATTGCACCGAGGAATTTCCAAAGCTGCCCATGCAAACCCCCTACGGTCAAATGGTCATCGAGCAGAAACATTGCAAGCAAAAGGTGGAAAAGGAAAAGGCAAAGCAAAACAAGAAGAGAAGCGCAAACCTTACAAAAAATGTAAGCTAAACTAAGAAAGCATCAAAAGCAGTGGCCCCTGTGCAGAAAATCCCACACTGCACGGAGTCACCCAAAAGATTACAGTACAGTACTAGAATAAAGAGACCGGTGACCCAAGTGAAAGAGTTTCTAAAACTGCCCATGCAACCCCCCTATGGTCAAATTGTCATCGAGCAAGCAAAATCCAAGAACAAACAAGCAAACGGTGCAAAAGGTACAGGCCAAGCAAAACAACAAGAGAAGCCGAAACCTCACAAAGAATGTAAGGATCTGGCGGAGGCATCACAAGCAGTGGCCCTTGTGCAGAGAATCCCACATTGCACGGAGTCAGCCACTAGAATAAAATATAAAGATACCTATGTGAAAGAATTTCCAAAACTGCCCAAGCAAAAAAAATGCAAGAACAAAGGAGATCAAAGGAGCAAACGCTGCAAAAGGAACAGGCAAAGCAAAGCAAGAAGAGAAACGCACGCCACAAAATGGTATCTACATGTTCCAGACCTGCTACCTACCTAAAGGTACCTACCTGGTACGTGCCCAAATGTCACTTACACCTTTTAACGAAAGGACGTGGCTAAATGTAGCTTACATTTTCCCAGGTCCCCCCCTCACTAGAGGTAGGGATGTTGCACCTACTGCCCATGAAACTCCAATGTATTGCGCCAAGGCTACTGGAACCCTTCCCTCCACGCTCTGGAGGTGGTTGTGGGCCGTGGGATTTCTCTTCATGTCGGCCTGAAGACTTCCCTCATCGGAAGTTTCACCTGCGAGTCTAATACTTCGAGTAGCAGCTGCCTGGAAGACAGACGCTTATTCCATCGGTGAAAGGCCTTTCAGTGCCAGGAAGTGGAACCCCCTTGTGTTGGATATTGATTGTAGAGAAGCAAAGCCCTCCAAGAGCCATGTTCCACTTCCATGGGCGTAGCTTTTTGGACTTTGGTTTCCATTGCAGATTAGGATCCGCAGTCTGCAGGCCAATTGCATCCTGCTAATGTTTGTGCCGCAGCTCGGTTTAGCCGAAAGCCTCTGCCAAAGGCAGGTTGCACAGTGGCATGTAAGCAAAGTGGTCTTTAAAGTTGAGACCTTGAACATCACAACCACTGGAAGTGCGGAACTATGGCATCGACCATGCGTTTGGATGACATATACATCCAGCGGACATGTTCTTCAACCCGATCCCAGGTCCCAGGCCGTGGAAGCGTGTGGCCTTGTGAGCCTCATTTGTGCCCCAGCACCACCAAAGACACAGAACCACGGCCAGTAGTGATTCTGTCTTTCGAGTCAGCCCACAACTTTGAGACCCCACGGCCATTGAGAGGGCAACATGCATTGCAGTTACTAAGGCTTGAATCCCTCTCCTATGAGATTGATTTGGCAAGGCTTGGGCCTTTGCTATCCTTGACTTTGAAGGCCTGATTCAGAGTGATTCGCTGTTGCCATGTGAACATGTTTGAAACATGTTTCACCCAAAAAGATGATTCCCTGCATGGGACGGCAGGTTCATTGGGCCTAAACTGGTGGTTTGTGCAATTGCGTGATGATCTTTGGATATTTTCAGTTTCCTGCAATCGTGTACACAATACGGGGTTGCTCCGCAAAAATCCCAAAGGCCATGAGTTTTACAACAATGATAAAACCAGGACCACCACAATGCATGGCCAAGACCATAAACATACACAAAGCACAATTTATGCCGAGAAGTGGCCGGAGTTTTTTCGGGGGCTGTAGCCCAGCATCCCGAATTTGAGTCTTTGCGAACTGCTCATGGACTGCTGGTAGCGTCCTTGTTCCTAGTAGAAATAAGGCCAGGAGCCCCGATCGTAGCGTCCGATCGCTCCTAGTAAGGCCAGGAGCCCCGATCGTAGCGTCCGATCGCTCCTAGTAGCTTCTGGTTCTTGGGGGATTTTCAGGTCTCATCGACTGCACGGACCACTTAGGCAGCGTGCTGGCAGTCCACCGCGGCAGGGCGGTCTGGAGACGGAGGGCGGTCTGGAGACCACGGCGCTGTCACTCCAGACGTTGGAGGTCCTGTTCGCGTCCGGGGGGTGGAACTCATGCGCCATCGGTTGGTAGCCGAGCGAGGAACAAACCCCATAGGGTGGTGGTTCCTTGAGGTCCAGGTTTTTGAAAATGTCAACTGGTGCTGAGCAGATCATGTATATAGATTGAAACTGGACCTCATTTTAGAGTTTTAAAATGGATTATATACTTCTCAAGTGCCATTGGGTTTTGTGGCTGGGCCAGTGGCTGTAGCTGGAACTGGGATGGACAGCACCAGGAAAGCAAGATCATATACGATCAGTTTGACGAGAACCGGGAGCAGGCGATAGCACTCGGCGCGTTTGTTGCCTTTTGCTGAACCAACAAAGCACGTGGATGGCATCGTGTTTCAACAAAGGGCAAGTGCAGACTAGGAACTCAATCTTTAGCTAAAATATCATAATTAAGTGGTTCTGTTTGGGGTTCATCCCCGAAAATGATAAGACTCTCGTGTTTTTCTGCTGTAGGTTTCTCCGGCTTAATTGCGCAGGTGATGAAACAGTCCCGCGATGTGGTGAAATCAGCGAAGCTCCTTGGTCGCTCGGGTATCGGGCATCCACGGTGCTCGGTGTTCGCCGGTTTGCAGTTTGTTGCTTCCACCTCCTAACCAGGCTTGGACTCGGACTGGTTTGAGATGATGTTCCTTTACAAAGTGGATTTTGCATATTGACGAGGGTAGACCTTGTTTCTTCTCAAGATTGGATGTGGCAGCAGTGAGCTGATGTGCAGTAGGAGGTGGGACTCCCTTGCCCTTTTGCATAAGGAACGCGATCTATGCCCTGCAACGCCTGAGACTCAGGGTTGCACTGAACGTCAGCAGGTCCAGCGTTTGCCGCGAGGTTCGGTAGCTCATGCTGTTGCAAAATATATGCTGTTGTCATGGTGGTGGTCCTATGTCAACTCCAACCTTGGCGTTTCCATGCGTTTCCTGTCACATGCCAAGGCGAAGATTGGAAGAGAGTCAAGGCCTTAAGTGTTTTCGAGGCATAGGAACGCCAAATAAGCCTTTCAACTTGGCTCAAGCAGCTTGCTACAAGATTGTGGCCCGGTGAATTGGGAGGGTCACGGTGAACCAAATGTGTTTGATCAGGCAGACTCCCAGATCGAGCTTTGTGCTGAACAGGTCTGGTAGCCGAGGGAAAGTGAATGAACAGCAATTAACCTGTGTGAGACACAGTTGGGTTACAGTTTTTTGGGCAGCAGCATGCAGATTACACTGCAGATTACAAAACAACATAAAGCAACGCAATGTGACGGATGTGACGGCCACCTTCAGAGAAAGAGACATGCCAGATATGCAGTTTGGAAGGTTTTGGAGTTGCCACTCTCCACGCAGTGCCACTCATGTTGCAGGCAAACGCCATCTATGCGGCCTTCGCTTGCAACTCACCCACCTTGCGCCTGGCACTGAAGAGCAGCGCCAAATAGAGGGGTTTTGCGAAAATGCGCAGCCGAAGCCTCCAACAACGTGGACCTCGGACGCCGAGCCGTGCTGTTCCCCTTGTATTTACATGCAACCGCTGTGTTTGGGGCGCATCTTTGTGCAAGGAAGGTTTGGAGCCGTGCCTAGGTCTCAACTATCTCAGTTAGTGGTCCACCTTCCGCGTGCCTCCACCGTTGGACGTGTTTTGAGTCGCTGCAGTCGCTGCAGTCGACGATGTGAAACACCCGAGGCCTGGGCTTCTTCAGTGGGGCGCTGGAAGAGATGGCTGAGGCCATCGATTTCTTTGGGAGCCGAGGGTTCCCCGAAAGTGCGGGCTCAGTCCGAGAAGTGCAGAAGAAAGTCTTGGCTGCTCGGAACAACGAAACAGCCCCATTTAGTTTGGCGCTGAACAAATGAAGCACAGATGTTGGGAATCTCACAGGGCTTGCGGAGAGAGAGAGAGAGAGAGAGAAAGAGAGAGAGAAAGAGGGAGAGGGAGAGAGGGTGCTTTCCTCGCAGCCAGGCTCTCGCCTATCGATCCTTCCGCCCAGTCCTGAAGTCTCTTGAAGTAGTTGCGCTGAGTGATCCCCGCTGTGTCACATGAAGGACGCGCCCCCAAATCCTGGCGTTCAGTGCCAACACCCGAGGCAAAGATGGAAAACTCTTGGATTTTGCTGGAATGCAAGCTCTGACCTTGGGACCGGGGACACACATTTGGCACACTTTCTGAGAGCCTCTCGATTGCGCGGAAAAGTAATCATTTTGTCGCTGAGAGGAAGGTGTTGATGGATTTTCATTGGGAGGCCAGGCGCACACCTTCTCTTTTTAATACATGTCTTAGCTGTGGTCACAGACCGCACTGAGCAATGAGTTCCATGGAGTAGAACTCCATGAAAGCGAAGAACAACCATTAGTTTCTCGTGCAAACGCATGTGCTGGCTTGTTCTTGAGGCATTTTCACAGAGCTGAGACGTGAAGTCTGGCACTGGACCACCGAGGCTTGTAGTGGCTTGCACTTCGACCTGCTTTTGAATGAATACTTGGGAGGCATCATGGACCTGACAGGCCAGTCAATGCCGCCGGTCGGTGGCCTGGGAATGATTGGCTTGACAGTCCGTCGGTCGGAGCTTTGGATGGCACCGGCTGGGTGGTTTTGATTGGTGAGCCATGCCGCATGCCGCATGGTGTTCCTTTGGTCCACAGGACATATGATCGTCATTGTCATCATGCCATGTCATATTTTACCGCCTGCCTGCCCAGGCGTAGACTCGTAGACCTGCATACCCAGCCAGAAGTGAAACTGGATGCCTTTAGTCGAGCTCCGATCATCTCAGCAGCTTTTTGGCTTGACATGCACAGAAAGAGAGAACGAGAATATGGAAACTTGTAAAGAGCCTTAGCTACCTGTACATTCCAATCCGCGTTTACGTTCTATATACATCTGTGTTGTTTGGTGTGTTTTTTGTTTGCTTGCTAGTCGTACATAGTACAAAGGTGAGGTGTCTTGGAGGTTTAGAGAACCTTTTTGTTACACATCACTCACGGCTGTGAAGCCCCGAATCTTGACCCATGAGTGAGCAATCACGCTGGTTCATCAAGGACAAGCCCCTGGAAGAGAAGATCAAAGCCTGTCTTTTGGTTCAGTTAGCTTCTCAAGACAGATTGCTTAAAGCATTTCAAGTTGCTTGAATTGTGTTTTGATGTCGTGGTGCGGTATAGGCTTAGGACACTCACTTAACATGCAGAATGAAAAAAGGAAAGAATGAATGAATGTTTTGTTGGATTGAATATGCATAACTCAAGGTGTGACCCAACTGGGTTCTAGTATGAATTTATGATAATTTCTGACTGTTCCAAGATCAAGGACCCGTCGGTGGTGAATTTTGTCAAAGTAAGGATGCTTCCCAAGAAGACCGCCATGTCCAAACAGGAATCTCTTGATATCCCACGTGTTTGTCACATTTATCCACATGTGTGGTTGCATGTACTATATAACTTTTTCGGCATCATGATCATCTGAGGTAAGAAATCGTTGGAGGCTGCTCAACGCTCAGGCCGGGCCAACATTGCAAAGGCGCTCGAGGAAAAGCTGGTGAAACTCCTTGATGAACAGACCCTCGGACGTTGCGTCAGGTAGAGTTGGCAGTGGGGTCAGGGCACTCCTCATAAACCATGTCATGTTGTTTGCAGGGAGTTGAGGATGCAGTTCAGGGATTCTCCTTGTGTGTGTATTTTGTTGCCTCATGATTTTGGCTTGAAATCTTGCATCTTCCCTCCCATCACTCCCATGTCCGGTTTTTGCTAAGAAGTTCGCGTGGGAATTCAAGTGGTTCACCGACTTGTTGAATTGGAAGAAACCTTGAGGCCGCATCGAAGTGCTTACTGGTTTGGTTACTTTGTATCAGGATTGGATGCCCCCTGCCACTTCACTTCCTACCAGTCGGCTTTGTCGGCTTTGGCTGGTGCAACCAAAAGCAACACATGAATGATTAGCAGGAGAAACGGGAGAAAGCTCTGTAGAAAGATGCAGAAAGCATCAAGGGTGGAGAAGCAACATGTTTTCAAGATTCCTTTGCCTCGTGCTTAGGTCGCCAGCTTCCAAGCCCAAGGCTGTGAAGGGTGGGGCAGCCAAAGGAAAGAACACCAAGAGGCCCAAGAAAGCCCCAACACCCCGTGAAGCCAAGGAAATCCCCTTGAAGAAGAAGAAGAAGGAGACACCCCGAAGTGCATCCAGCAAAGCAACCCACTCAGCCAACCAACCCATCCAGCCAGCCAAGCAGACAAAGAAAACCAAAACCATGAAGGCCACCAGAGCAGACGAAGCCAGTGCCAGCGCCCCACAGGCGTTCCGGAAGCTCCGGAAGAAGGTCACGACAACACAGGAACCGGAGAAGGTGAAGAAGAAACTGAAAAAGAAGAGTCAAGGAAGTGGCAATGACCATCAGAACTTGGGCCTGAAAGAAGCAAGTTCGTTCTATTTCGTTCTTATCGTTTCATGTTTTTCACCGTTACACCGGTTTTTGGGTGGATTACTTTGTGCATTTTTTGCCAACAAAATGGGTGCTCTTGTAGAAGGAAGGATCCCTTGAATCAAAGAAGGACTGCCATCGACTTGCTGCTCCGTGCGGCCGCCAAAGCGAAAGCGGCCCGAGCAGCTGCAGGAGAGGAGTCCGAAGAAGAAGCTCTCATGCCGGACCTGCCACCGGCCAAGTGCTTCACATCCATGCCACTCAGAACGGTTCTGAAGGTTGCTAAAAGTGTTTGTCATTTGTTTGTTGTTGTGGGCTACAGAGGTCTACAAACGTCCCTCCAAAAAGGGACCCTCCTCAAACTCCACTTCCCCAAGTGCAAGACAGGGAAATGGCTCGCACGCCGAAAAGTGTTGTGCCTTGAAACGTGGATATACAAACTAAGTGCAGTAGATATTGACAGCATACCCTCCATTTTGTAAAACATTTGATGATTGCTTTTAATTCCAGGTGCAGACACACATGTTCATGAGTTGAACCCCGCCTAGTTGGGTTTGGTTTGGTTCAGGAGGGCAGAATTTGCTTGGGCATGTGTCAATGTCTAAGAGCATAGAAAGGTGTGAGAGATCTAATATTGAATTGCTGAAGCCAGTTTGGCATGGCATCCTTGGTCGCCGTTTTGTCTAGAATGGTCAGCGCACTTTCAGTTGGGAGGTTCTCCGGCTTTTTCTGTTGCTTTTCCTCTTCTCTGTCGAGCTGCATTTCCCATGAATTTGTGTAAGGTGTGGTTAACTCACTTGTATAATTAGTCAGAACCGTGGTTAGGTCAGGTCTTCCCAAATTGTAAGGACTGCAGATGATGGAGAACCTGGCTTCGGCGAGGACGATGGGCACCCGAACTCGACGACTGGGGCCGAGGAGGAGGACGACTTCTTTGATGCGGTGGAGGATCCACTCGTTGACCGTCCAGAAGCTCCGGACCCGGTTTGTGTGTTTTTCTCGAAGGAGTCCCACCAAGGGGCTGGTTTGAGCAGTGTGATCCGTTTTGACAGTGAGGAATCATGAACATGTCCCTTTCTGAACCTTTGAAACTAATATCAATACCATCTAATTATCTGAATTGAAGCTAGTCCGGAGGTGCGATGCTGGCTTCGTGAAACGGGGTCAGGTCTCTCTCGAATCCTCCGAGATATAGAAGTTTAACCGACGTGGGCCGTGGGAGTTGAAAAAGATCCGAAGCGTAAAGACCCCAAGCGTATACCCGGAGGACACGGAGGAAAGCCAGGTCCGAAGCCTCCGAGGAGACTGGGGGAGGAAGACAAGCATGGCGAGGATGGTTGACTTATGTGAGTATGAACCAAAGTTGCTGTGAAAGCTTTATGGTTTTTGACGCACTCAGCATGTTGCAGGATGTTGCAGGTATTTTTGAGTGCTCAAGAAGCTTGAGAGAAAGAACCTTCTGCTGAACAGGGTTTTGACATGTTTTGACATTGGATAGAGGTGTTTTAGTAGTAGTTTCGAGCTTTTGAGGGTGAGCTCCCCTTCGAATGGATAGTACTTCATGCAGGGGTTCCTCTGGAGGAACTGACAAGTCTTTGGACAGGAGAGGCTTGGTAGAGAAAGATTGCTTGGCAGTGGGTTCGCAGGAGAGGCCAGAAGAGAAAAGAAGCTTCGGAGGCAGGAACGACTGGAGAGAATACGATACTCAGCTGCAGTTTGAAGATGTTTGTCGAACTTTGCAAGAACGAATGAGCACGTTGCGAAGACCCTCCAGACTCCAAACAATATTCAACCGGATCAAATGGGGCATCATCATGTCGATTCCATCTTGTCCAGCGTAACTCTGAGGACAGGAACGACTTCAAAAACACCCCTCCTGGG